ACTCGGGATAAAAACATTGATCGGATCTTCTAGAAAAAGCAAAGAGAATTCAAACAGTGACATGGATCATAAAAATGTAAGACATCTTCTGCAAAATGACATACAAATCAAAATTTGCCTAGTGTCAAATTTTGGACCCTTTACTCTGAGTTTATAGATGCTACAATGTTCTGTAAATGCAATTAAAGTGCAATGAAAGTTTTATTTTCTGCTTTTCATTCTTTCTGAAACTACAGTTAAGGGAACACGGAGGACTGAAGGAGGACTCATCTGTTCAACCTACACGTCATCAAGTAAAGCATTTCTCATTGCCTGACTGCAGATGGTCATTTCTTAACTACACATTTGATATTTTGTACACATACATGAAGAATTAGCCCAGCATTGAATTTTCTGAATGCTAGTGTGTTTCCTAGCAAACGTCATAAAACAGCATCCACATTTCTTGGTAGAAAGATGTGTAGAAAGTCTCAGAAGTATAACATTTTACTGTAGTAGTTTAAACTAAAAATGTGATTTCAATAAATTCAGCTGGCTCCCTTAACAATTATTCCAAAATAAATATAACAGAAGCAGTTTTGGAATATATGCTTTACATTTTGAGGCTATCAAAGTACCTGGCAACTTTTAAACAGTAATTCATATGGAAAATTGGAAAATTACATGTTTTCACCCCAACCATCATTCTGTTTAAACAAGCTGATGGGTCATTAATCAGCTTGTAACACTTGAATCATTTTTTAATTTTTTTTGCAGAAAGTAATGAACTGCCTCATCAAAAGATACATATTTAAAGCACAGAGAGATAAAGATAATGACGAAGTGAACGAAGGTACGTTTCCTGGAAACACTGTTTTTTTGTTGTTTTTTTAAAATTTCTAGATCATGGAATTGCCAAAAAGTGAATAAATATATAACTTCCTTGACCCAAAGGTGAACTGAGAGAGATCAAACAGGACATCTCGAGCCTTCGCTACGAGCTGCTGGAAAGAGGGAACCATGATTTAAACAGACTGGCCGATCTCGTCAGGCAGCTGGGAGAGGTTGTGCAGAAAGAAGAGCGGAGAGGGGATGTCATTTCTTAAAAACATGTATATCATAGAAACAGATAAGTTGTACATTATGCAGTCTCATATATTTGTTGCACAGGTAAGTTTTTAAAACTACAGTATTCAGTTCTGTTTTCTAAAGAGGCCTATGAATTACTGTTTGGCTTAAATATGACCATTTTAGTAGGAAACTTCATCTTCTTCAGCTGTATATGTTCAGTTAACCACATGGTGGCAGTAAGGTAGTATATTTTCCCTTTGTTGGTTTTGGGTGTGTGGCTGTTAGCAAATAATGACTTTACAGATGCAATTTTTGATAAAGTCTTGTAGAGAAGTGAGATGTTTATATAAAACAAGGAAATTAGTTTGATTATGTCTGTTTGGGCTGCAATTCATGCAATCCAGAAGTAAGAACAAAGTTTTTTGGTAATAATTACTCTTTAATTTTTATATTTAGTGCAACTGTAAAGTTAATGAGCTTTGGCTCAATGTTTAGAGGAGTCATTACATTTTAAAATTGTACTGCAATAAAGTGAGCATGCTGTTTAATGAATGTCATAATCATCAATGTTGGTTACCTTTGATTCATGGAATAAAGATGGGTAATTTTTTTTTTTAAATTATTGAAACCTGCTGTTTTCCAATATAGATTTTTGTTTTTTGCTACAAGCAAGAACAGCAGACAACAGGCTGCTTCTTTTACAAGAATGCAAACTTCAAGCGTAGTTTAGCTTCAAAGCTATAAAACGAGGCAATACAGAGAAAAACTTTAAATGATTTTTTTAATAAAAGCAAAAGATAAAAATGATTAGCAATAATGTGTGAACTGTAAAGGTAAAAAAAAAAGTACATAACTGACCTATATTAGAGGCAGAAGTTAATCCAAAATGAGACATTTTGAGAAGAAAGTCTGATAAGAAAATCTAGGCCATCACAACATCCGAAGAGTGCATGTTGCAGATATGAATGTGTCATTGTTATCCAAGAATTATGTAGGCCACTGCATGAGAATCCCCTCGGATGTCGTCTAAAACATGACGCAGGAGATAGGGCCAAGGACTGCGTGTACATCATGAGCACATGCATCAGCAACAGTCAGACTGGACTGATTAACTTGAATAGTAAAACCCTGCTCTGCTATCTAACTAGGGTAACAGAAAAGTACATTAGAGGAGTGGAATGAGGTAAAGAAGGACTAGAATACATTTCCCCTAAGAATTATGTGGCAAACAGAAAGAAAAAAAAAACCATCTTCAATATGTTTCTAATTTTAAAATCAGTTAAACATATTTTGCTTTAAGCAACATTGAAGAAATGTAAGTGCAAGAGGGAAGCATGTAATGACAAACTGAAGAGTGAGTTTTACAGTTTTAAATGAACAAATGCCCCAGTAAATGTATATAATTTTAAAAGTAATGCAAATCAGAAGTTTGCATTTCCACATCATAATCATCATTGAAAATTTGGGATTTTGATTATGTATTGGAACCTTTTATTCAAATGGGTACAATCAGGATAGAAATTTAATGCACAAGATGCATGTTTTGGCTAACTGTGACCATCAGAAACTTCTGACTGGATACTTAAGCTTTCTAATCAGAAATGTTAGAGTATTGGTAGATTTCCCATTTCCTTAAAAATTTATGCTTTTAAGGAAACAGCATACAATTTAAAAACAAGGTGCAGGTCCAGCACAGGCAGAATATTAATGCCTGTTTTATTAGCTTTAAAACCAGTTTTGATTGCGAAACACTGTAATAACACCTGATTGTGACCACTTATTGATCATATAGGGATTGATTTGACATGAAGTTTATGAAGGTAGTCCTCCTTCTTCATTAATCCGTACATATTGTGTAAGAACCTGTGCACAACCTTTCCTCACCATTGTGCTAATTAGATACACTGTTTTTCAGTTCAGCCTCACCTAGAGTTCTCTAAAAATTCTTGTAGAATCTCTTTAGAGGACATTTGCCTTGTCCTTGAGGGCAGACCAATATGTCATTTGAGCCTGAAGGTGTTTCTTTGGAGCAGGTACTTCTTCCTTGGTCATCACCCTCTCTATTGATTTGAGTTCTTGTGTTGTCATTGAACATCCTAACCAATTTAATCTCATCAAAGGTAATAGTTTGGCTCTGATGGTTGAAACATGTACCCCTTTCCTACTAGCATCCAACACCATAGCTCAACTTGGCTCAACTCTACTCTACATAGTTGTTACAGTTGATAATATCTTTAATGAGGGGAGTAGTCATGTAGTTGGGTTTCCAGAGTCCACAAAGTAGTACGACATGGTCTGTATGGGACACGGACACTGCATAACAATGGGGGGCAGGAAGCCATGTCTCAGTCTTCCATTGTAGTTACAAATTCCAAATACAATCAGTCGCTGTTGTGAGTTTTTACAAATTATTGTGAGGGAACTGCTCTTCTGATGAAACCAGCGATTCCATCCCCTAGTTAGTTAGTCTTCTGAGTTTTCAGCCCGACTCCATGAACTTGGAACCCTAGGAAAGTAGGTTTTATAAAAGTGACTGGTTCTATGTAACTGTGATGAGTGGAAAACCCACATAACTCATAGAGCCAAGTTGAACAAGTGGAAAAGGCCCATTAGAAGCAATTTGAGGTTTCAACTAAACAATAATCTCAAGCAACAAAACTGGTTATGGCTAAAGGAGTCTGGCTGTGTGAATATGCCAAATGTCTTCCTGAAAAGGTTTCATAGTCAGATTTAACATTTAACATTAGGCTTGCCACCATACGAAAACTCTGGGCCACCAGCTATCAAGTTGTTGTGGTGGCATTATGCAAATGGATCTTCCTAGCTACCAGGAACCAGAGCCATCATAAAAAAAGTACCTGTAGTAATACATCTTTTTCAACATTACCTTATGTCTGAAGTGAAAAGGCTGAGTTTTGGACACCACTGATCAAGAGAGGGCATTAACACGTCAACTTAGGTTCAGGAGCAGGCCAACCCCTCTGCCACTCTAATGCTACGTTCCGGTTGTACTAGGAACTGGTTTTGATCTCCCAGTCAGAAAAATAAACTGGAACGCTCTTCCTGTTGAAGTTGGATTTCCCCCTGGGAAACTAGGAGTAACTCCAACTACTCCCAGTTACAACTTGAAATGCCGAATTAGCTTTTTTATATTTCTGCTCCTCGGACCAGCAGTAGTCAGATGTGGTCATGTTTACTTTACAAGACATGTATATGAGTATGTCTAAAACCAATGTTACATGCAGCACATGCAACTACAAACTCAACAAATTGAAAGCGGTGCTTGTTTATGGAAAGTAAAGCTTAAAATGATGTTTGCAAAAGGAACCGCAAACAATGTCTGTGGGCGTTGCCATGTTGAAATTCTGACTTCTTAAAGCTGCAGTATGTAAATTTTACAAAAACATGTCTTTTCCAAATCTGTTAATACTTTCACCATGTCATGACAGTATAAGACGTAATTTGTGAAAAGATTGAGCTTCTCCAACTCCTCACTGAGCTACTACTATTGCCCTCCACAGAAATTCAACACTCACAGTCAAAAACAACCAATCAGGGCCAGGAGGAGAGTGTGAGTGCTATCAATCAATGCTGCTCAATGTGCTAATAGCAGATAAAAAACCTACTGTTGCAGGAAAACTGTTTATCCGTCGTCATCGGTGACCATGCTAAGGACCTTTAGCATTTGTGGCAGGCTATGTTGTGGTGAACCAGCTGTTGCATAGCAGAGAGGAAGGGGGAAGAGATGAACATGAGAGTGACTGACAGCGCTAAGACCCGGCTCCTGGCTTGTTTCTGACTAAGTGGTATTTCTGCAGTTAGTACTGGGAACACTGGGAGAAGGCAGAGAAGCTCAATTTTTTCACAGGTGATCCGTCTTATATTATTCTTTAAGTATATAATGATATTTTTATCAAATATGTAAAAAGCATTTGTTTTTTCTAAGTTACATACTGCAGCCCCTCCAGCACCCGTCTCTCCAGCCCTACCTTGTTCTCACCTCCCATCAACTCCTCATTGTTCATCTCGGAGGGATGGCGGGTACTAATCAGACTTCAGAAAAGTTATTTCCTGAAGACCGGACTCCCACACTGAGTTTTCACCCAAGGCTCCATTCATTTAGCTCCCATATGACTCATATCCTCGTTCGTCCATCCATCGGACTCCTTCTTTTATTAAGTCTTTACATTCATGTGGTGTGGTCCTTGCTAGTAAAACCTCAGTTCCAAACAGATAAATCAGGCTGAAAGTAAACCTTTGGAATGGCTTTCACCTTAATCCTAAATAAAATATAAACTCTCTCTGCAACTTGTAAAGGGAAATTCAGCCAAATGATACTTTGAGATGTTTATTTATCCTGTGTGGATCATTTTTGAGCCACTGAGCATTGCTGAAAATTCATGATAAATTTGAAGTTGTGAATATTTTTTGACTAAAAATCCTTTAAGTTGGAAAATTATCCCCTCTAAAAAGGGTAGGATTATCTATTTAAACATTATCCTGAGGATTTTTTTTTCTCACCCAGATACTGTGACTGTTTTTATTTATAATCATGTAACACCTCTTTGCATCCTGTTACACTTTTTCCAGATCTGTAGGGCGGAGACTAATGGCCCTTGACATTGAAAGTCTCCTGAAAGAAATGCCACTTTTTAGCTCTGCTGTTAAGGTACGAGGACTTGCACTCTATACAAACCTTTGGATCTTTTCCCCCAATTTGGTAAGTCCTGTGGACAACTGGATCACTATAGGAAAATATTAGAAATGACACCAACGTCAAGAAGAAGGATATGTCGTTTTTGTCAATCTACTGTGGTTCATTTTTGTGAACAGAACATAAACGCGATCTAATTTACACAGTACACCAGTGCATGTTTTTTTTTTTTATCTTACAAACAAGTGAAAGAAACTTATAAAGTATTAGAGAGCCTTTGGTTCATGTGAAAGGCAAAGTCACAGACAGGGAGGAGGATTATAGGAAGGTCTCCGAGTTGCTCCTTATCACGCTGTAACATCCAGCCTGCGGGCGCACTCAAGACGCTTCTTCGAGCTTCAAAGGGAAGAAAGGAAAACTCATGGAAAACAAAATGCACGGGAAGATGAGCGCCATCAGCACCACGTCGATCGCTGATTCAACTGATTCGAAAGTAAGCAACTTGATTGATGTTGGATACAGCAGGTCTGTCAAAGTGGTCGCGCGTAATTTGGGAAGTCTAGATCCTTTAATTCATGGCTTAAATTCGAGTGGGGACTGCTCGGTTTATAAGGACTGCAATTCTATTGAGGCGTCAGTTTCTGCAAAACAGTCTTATGACAGCAACAGTGACTATTTAAAGTCTGCTGGTGTTCCCTGGGAAGAATTTGTTAAACATCAGAGGACCAGCGCATCTCTGTCGGAAAGTTTGTCTGCCGCAAATCTAAGCCTGTCATCCACACCCGGAACTTGTAAGTTCATTAAAGACGAAAAGGAGCCCGCTGTGATTATGGACACCCCCTGTCCGAAGTTTGACACATCACCTGAGATCCGTACTCTCGACACCTGCTGCGAAACCGACAGCAAGCAACACCTGGGGCTGGAAGTAATTCCCCGTCCACGGATGGAGGGCTCTCCTAACTTTCTTATAGAGCTGACCAAGCCAGAGCAGCTGGGGAACTCCGGAAGAACCGACTCCAGGTGTGCTGTGTCCACCCATTCCCATTCCCCCGCGCCTCACGCCACTTCACGTTGGCAGATCCAAACCCCTACTTCTGAGCCTCCGTACTGGCTCCACACCGCAGCTATGACCGAGACGGACGCCTTTCCAACCAGCAGCTACGAAGGGATTCAGAACCACACCCAGACCCAGAGGAACCCTTCACCTTTCTCCACCTTTCCAGGGTAATATATTTTCGACGCGTTTTCTAATTTAGCGTTACTGTTTTTGTTTGTTTGTTTGTGTTTGTTGTTTGTGTTTGTTTTTATATTCAGTGATAAATAGTTTAGTGTGACAAACTTTATTTTTATTTAAAATAAAAATTCTTTCATATCTGAAGTCAAAAATACAATCAAGAAATTATTTTTCAAAAATGTTTTTTTTTTTTTTTACATAAGTTAGGAAACACTTAAAATATGCTTTTGATAGATTCAAAATATTAAGTTTTGAATACGTTTTATATGGAATCCAAGTGTATTTATTTCTGTATTCATTTATTTATTTTCTATTTCTGTGCTGAATGATTTCTGTACTTATCAAACATACCCGAACACTTGATTGGTAAACTTGCTCTGTAACGTCCAATCATCTTAAAGTTAAGAATATTAGTCCCGCCCACTGACTTTGATTCAAAATACCGACAGACAAGTCGATGATGTTGCAACTTAATTAAATAAAATTAATACCAAAAATGTATTTGAACTTCTAGAAAAACATGAACACACTGATTTCGTTTCATGTTTAAGTATTTAGTAATGTTTTTAAAGAATTAGCAAAAATGCTACTATCAATTCATGTAATTATCTGTTTTATTTACAGTTAGCGATATGTTGCATATATTGAATACATATTGTCAATATTTTTAAACGTGTTGACATGTAAAGTATCAATAGTAAACATTTAAATATTAAAACCAATTCATTTTATTGCATACAATTTCCATTTTGACTTAACTTGAATAAATAAACTATTAGTAAAAACGACTAACATCTGATTGGTTAATTTGCCCAGCAACTTGGCTGTCAAATCATCTTAGTCATATTTACTCCACCTACTGACTTTGCAGGATAAGGCAGGAAGGATGAAGAAATAAATACTTAAATAGTTACATATGTTTTTAACAATGAATAAAAATGCTCAATGATTTTCAGACTTTATTACATTATCTAGCCATTTAAATTGTTTTTAATAAATTGTATATACTGAGAATTATTTTTTGAAATTATCACATACATACATTTTGTTCCTTGCTTGTAGCAGTTTTGGCCCTTGATATATGCAAACCTCCATCAAAAATCTTATTTGGTCTATTTTCTAGGTTGCAGCCTCAGAGAATGTGTGTTATCTGTGGTGATGAAGCATCTGGCTGCCACTATGGAGTCCTAACGTGTGGGAGTTGCAAAGTATTTTTCAAAAGGGCAGTGGAAGGTGAGCAACAAATCCAAATGTCTGTCTGCCAGATCTAAGTGCATGATTTAAGTTTTCCGTATTTAATTTTTTTCCCATTCTCTAAAATGTTGATCCCTCCAGACATCACACTCTTACATAGTTGTATTGGGATTGTCTTAAAAGGGAAAACGGTGGGCTGCAAAACGTTGAACAGTTTAATTGCTTCAGAATGTTCCCTTAATTCAGAAAGTACCCTTTAAGTGTTTGAAAACCAAATGCTTTTAGTAGTCACCAACATTGAAAAACTACAAAAATGATCTATAAATGTTGATGTGATACTGTGGTTAAATGGTATTTCTGTGAGATTTTCACATTAATTGAGACTAATGTGATACTATAACTCTTATATACTGATCTCAATATGCACATGTTAAAACAATTTTTTTTTAGAAAAACATATGGAAGTAACTCATTAAAAACCATTATGTGAATGTTTTTAAATTAAAATCAACCAGGAAGTAATCTGCTAGTTACTGCTATTCCTAACATATAAAACACAGTTTACTATAATCTCCCATATAGATTACCTTTCAGATTGTTGTTTTTCCCACCATTACTTCTTAGATTTCTTGACATATTTTTAACCATATCTAGAAAATGATAGTGATGTCCTTTGGTAACACTGCTATCTTTGAAGGCTACTGTATATTCAGCAAGTGAAACGGCTTTGGCTATATAGTACTCTTGGAATGATGCCAAACACATGACACAATCTAAAATAACCTCATTAAAAGATTAGCAATTCATTTTACTTTGTGAGAAATGTCTGTGTTCTTTGAGAGTGTTATCTAAATCTCTTGTCATAAGTTTGGCACTGATCAGACTATAAGAACACATACTACAAACATAAATGCTCAAAGTTGTTCCAGGCTGAAATTCATAACAAGGACGGATACAAAATAAAGTTACTACATATAGCCTAAAAACTTGAGATAGGTGAACCAATTTTATTTCTTCACATCTATATTTAGAAAAAAATTGCAATCATTTGTTCTTCAATTAGTTTTTAATAAATTTATGCAACATTAACTTGATGGCAACTTGATTAAGTAGCCACACAAAAAAAAAAACAAAAAAAAAAAACTAATTTTGATTGTTTCACTAACCCAGTTCTAAATCAGTTAAACAATCTTGCTCTGGGTTGCTTTAGCACAAATGTTTTGGTTATGGTTTTGAGCCATCATACTGGGTTTGCTTTTCAACCCAAAAATGGGATAAAGTCATAAATGTCATGCTGATAAAGCCACACCACAGTTAGAAGAGATTACTGACCAGGTAAATATTTGGGTTAAAATGAATGATTTTCTGTTTTAGCTTAATTCTGCTTTAAAAATGTTCTGAATCTGAAACATTCAAAGAAGAATGTTACATTTTCTAATAAGTCTTTTAATTAAAAACAACGAAATAGTGCATATTAATAATAATGGAATAGCACGTCATTTAGTCAGTGTGAATGTTAACTTTGTACCTAGCCATAGCTTGTGCTAGCTAAATAGATGGGTATGCTAACCAGCTAAAACTGGCTTATGCTTGTATTAATTTGTTCTCCAATGTGAACTAGAGTAAAAAACACAAACTACCGACTGTTAAATATTACACTGCATTTCATTTCACTTACCACTTCTTGTGGTAAGAATTCAAAGTGGCAATGATGACGCTACCATTAGCCTTTTCTAAAACGCAACAAACTGGTTCACTATCATTGATCCAATGTTTGGTTTAAGCTACCCAACTGCTATTGGGACAGCATAAACCAAGCATCTTTTGGTAAGTGATAAATGCTTTAAGAGCCTTCATCATGTTCTATATCTGAGAAGATTTAAAATTTGAAATGCTACAACAGTAAAAGTTTTCAAAGAAAATTATTGTAACAATGTTCCAACATATCTTTACTTGGGGCCTGTTGGGTGCTTTTTAACCTCTAATGGTCTTTGAGCCATACCCCTTTTATGCTACCCAGGTTGTTTAATTACACACAGCTACATGTAATAAGTTTATTTATTTGATTATCTTGTGGTCTAAACAACCTGAAACTCAGATTTTGACTCAAACGGAAAACCCAGTCATTCACAAACACTTTGCAACCTTCTGTGGTAGTTGTTAAAGGTTATTAGAAACAGTATCACTTCGAACAGTGTACACCATGTTCTTCATTTTGGACTTTTTTTGTTATCTTGCAGTGCAAGATATAGTGAGAGCCACTATGTCTCACCATGGCCATGTCACTCTGTCCTCACAGCCTTGCCTCTATCTAATTTGCCTCGTTAGTTCTTTTAGAATCCTGCCTGAGTTTGGAGTGGTTAGTCAAGAGTCAGTTCAATACTGCCCCCCCCTCTCATCCATCATTTACCACCCACGGTTCCCTATATATTTAGAAACCAAGCACTGTTAAAATTGGTTGTATTGTTTGTCTGTGCCCATTCCCCTCAACAGGCCATCACAGCTATCTCTGCGCTGGGCGAAATGACTGCATTGTGGACAAAATTCGGAGAAAAAATTGCCCTGCATGTCGCCTCAGAAAGTGTTACCAAGCAGGAATGATGCTCGGAGGTAGGATTTCATTTGATTTGTTATCGAACTGTTACCACACCTCCATATCAGTCATTTCTTTGAGTAGCAAGCACCATGTCTCAATCTTTTGTTCAAGGTTGATTCTTCACAAAAGACCAAATCTATTGTAAAGCTTTAGGTTTATGGCAACACCTGCATTAGAACTCAGAAGTGTACACACCCCTGTTAAAATCCCAAGATTCTGAGTCTTAAAAAATTGAGAGTAAGATCAATTATTTTAAAACTATATTGGCAATTTTTTGGTTCAGTTTCAAAGTTTAGTCTTTGGGACTCCATTAGCCTTCCACCTGGCAAAGTTCTTGAAATCTCTTGTCCAAAGCCATCTTTGGGTTCCCTACTAATGGTTCTCCAGATGTAGTTCCAAAACTAATTTTCTTAAGATGAAGCCATTATTTGATGATGCATCTCTGATTACGGTGATGCTGGAAACTGAATCACTCTTCATCTTCTAGAAGACCTACTTTCATCTAACAAAAATTAACCCCAGATCATAATGTTACCACCATCATCCTTCACTGTAGTCATGGTACATTATGTCAAAAGTATAGTCATCTCAATATTAGTATTCACAGTATTATGATTATCACAAAGGGCTGCTTAAAATATTGAACTTTTTTTCTAGTATAACATAATCCAAGAGTCACAAGTTTAAACTTTGCATTCTAATCTGATGTTCAGCCTGTTGGATGGAATCTCCCTGCAGCAGTACTTGACAGATTCCATGTAGATTTACGCCAAATAATATCATTATCACAATATTTACAAATAATATCACCACTGCATCATTTTTCTAATATTGTACTGGATTACATTTTTCATACCCAAGTATTTTACAAATTCATTTGTCTGATTTTTACTTGGGGTACTTCCTTATTAGATTTGATAAAGCTTTATATTTGTGTCACAGGCAGGAAACTGAAGCGCTTTGGAGCCTTGAAGGCCTTAGGCTTGGCTCCGTCCCTGATGTTCCAGTCCCATTTGGCCATGTCCGGAGATGGCCAGGCCTTGACCTCCATGTCTTGTGTACCAAGCATCCATGAGCTTCAGCTTTCCCAACAAATCATTAACATCCTGGAAAACATCGAGCCTGAGATTGTGTACTCTGGTTACGACAACTTACAACCCGAAGTTCCCCATCTTCTCCTCAACAGTCTCAACAGGCTGTGCGAGAAACAGCTGCTGTGGATTGTCAAGTGGTCCAAGTCCCTGCCAGGTAACAGCTCTCTGCATGTCAGGGTTGCCACTTTTGTTGTCATAGGGATCGCTCTGGGAGGCCTTGGTAAAGGTCTCAACCTTAAGTGATCCCCATTAGTCACACGAAGTGTTCAACTCTAATCTCAGAGAGAACAACAAAACATGAAAACCAATGCCCTGCAGTGATGATTCACTTATGAATCATGTTGCATCAAATTAAGAGGTAGGAAAAAAGTTGTCAAAATGAGGTATTTTAATGTTTTTTGACTCTGTGTTCTACTGTCTTTTCTAAGGTTTTCGGAATCTTCACATCAACGATCAGATGACTCTAATTCAGTACTCGTGGATGAACCTGATGGTGTTCTCTCTCGGGTGGCGCTCTTTTCAGAATGTCACCAGCGAATATTTATACTTTGCGCCTGACCTGATTCTTAGCCAGTAAGTAAATATCTTAGTGTCTTGAAAATGTCTGACATTTTAGATTTTATATGAACAAACTGCAGTGAAACTAAATGCTATCAGAAGTCAGCTTGTAAGTAAATCCACCAATTTATGATTTATTTGGAGTGTAAATATATCCTTTCTGTAAAAGTCTCAGAGGTTTGTCAAAGAACATTATTAAAAAAAAAGGCCCAGGAAGAGACATAGCAAAAAAACAGATGGCTATTTAGGGTATCGGAGCTGCAGCTAAGAGGCAGATGGTAACTATGGTGGATCTGCAGAGATCCGCTAGCCAGGCCATTGTCTCCCTATCTAAGTCCAGTTGATTCCCATCTACCTTCAGTTTTACACCTGGGTTTTCTCCCATTGAGCTGGATTTCTCTGGATGAATTTTAACCAGGTCAAACGGTGAAAAAAAAGAGGATTTGTGAACGATGAAGCCAATTTCCTGTTCTGTTTTAGAATTCTAGTCTGTCTATGGTTGTAGTTTGGCAATGGAGGAAGTGAATGGCGTCCGTGTTGGCCACACTCCCAGATATTGAATTAACATTAACAGCCATCTTATTCGGCTCTGAACTTCTCTCTTCGGTGGTTGTTTACGACACAGCTCATTTCCAATATAGTGCTGAACTGGCTCATTACATCACGGCCAAATGTTAGCAATTCTCAGTAGCCAAAGATCCAGACCCTTTGTATGAAGCAAAGCATAGAAGAAGCATGGAATGGTTTTTACTAGGCTAGAGATCTTCTACTCAGTGGAGAGAAACTGGATAGGAAACGTATCAGTCAAGCATCTGAAAAATATCTGACTTTCATGGCAGAAAATCCAGAAGAAAGCCACAAGTTAAAAGAAAGTGACCAGACGTCCTGTTTGAATATTGTCAGCGTAGAAGACAACAAACCAAATGATAAGATAAAAATTCAACCTTTTGGCCATTAAGAAAGATGTTATATGGGGCAGAATATCTACAGCTCATATCACCTGAATCACACTATAACCATGGTGAAACATAGTGGTGGCATCATCGTGGCGCACATATGCTTTTCTTCAGCAAGGACAACAAATCTGCCCAGAATAATTGGAAAGATGAACAGAGGTGAATACAATGTAGTTCTGGAAGAAAACCTTGCAAAAGTAGAAAAACATTTGAAATTGGTTCAGAGAGACTAGGAAGAATGGTCTAATCGAGGTCCAGATTAAAAACAAGGCAACAATCTCTGAGAAGATTTAAAAATTTGTCTTCGTTCTACCCATTTCCAGTTTGACTGAATCAGAGCTATTTACAAAGAATTTAAAACGGCAAAAAGACGCATAAAAGTTGGTGTTTGTAACTTGCCAAAAGTTGAAAAGCTTTACAGATTCCATGAATAGTATTAAGTCAAGATGTTCAAACAGAGAAAAAAAGAATCAATTTAATTTTGAAAAAGACACACTTACTTTAAACTATATTAATGTTTTTCTTTCATTTTTAGGGAGCAAATGAGGAGATCCCCAATATATGACCTCTGCCTGGCGATCCAGTTCATTCCTCAGGAGTTTGCCAACCTACAAGTGACCCGTGAGGAATTCCTCTGCATGAAAGCTATAATATTACTCACCACAGGTGGGACCCTTACAATTGAACACAACCACTACACAATGTTACAATCTCAGAAATGTGAAGCTTTGAAGACCAACTACTGCAGAGCTGAACAAAAACAGGAGTGTTTAACAAGATTAGACCTTGAATAGATTAATGTAGCAACTATTGTCAAGTTATTTTTCCTTATCAAACAAAAACATGTTATTCAAGCACATATATTTCCTTTTCCTGAAGCATTTTTTTACAACAGATGGTTGCGATTTACAATTTGCATTTAAATTTGACTTCTTGCTTGTCTTATGCACTCTCAGTGCCTCTTGAAGGTCTGAAAAGTCAGGCCGCATTTGAGGAAATGAGACAAAACTACATACGAGAGCTGTCCAGAGCCATTCACATGAAGGAGAAGGGCATGGTGGCCAGTTCCCAGCGGTTCTACCACCTTACCAAACTGATGGACGCCATGCATGATGTAAGGCTCTTTCAGAAGGTACACCTCCAGTGTCTGCATTCTTATTGAGCACCAAAAATGAAAAGAAATGTCTCCTGTCTGACAGATAGTGAAGAAGGTCAACCTGTTCTGTCTGAGCACCTTCATCCAGGCCGACGGCATGAAAGTGGAGTTTCCAGAGATGATGTCAGAAGTCATCGCCTCTCAACTTCCCAAGGTGCTGGCTGGGATGGTGAAACCCCTGTTGTTCCACACGAAGCAGTAATGCAGACATCATTATGGTGGTGGCCTTTGACTGGATTACTGCTGCAGAATACTTAATTCTTCAGACCCTGCATTCTGCTGTAGTGTAAACTATGATAAATGCCTCCAGGGAAGGCAAAAAAAAAAAAAATAAAATAAAAAAATGGATTGACATGAATGTAAAGTGCCTACAAAAGCATGAATATATTTGAATGTTTAATTTTCAGTTTTTAATCATGTTACAAAAACAAACTTAAATATATTTTATTTGGCTTTTCTGTAACAGACCAACATAAAATAATATTTTGCTGCACGTCAATATCTAAAGTAGGGGTCATGTTAGCCAAATGTTTTCCATCTTTGATTGCTTTTTTTATTATTTGAAACGGTGACAGAAAAATCTGAGGGCCATCCGTCATTTTGTCAGATTAAAATTCACACTCCTGATCAACTCGTGTAGTAGTAGACGTGTTTAACTTTACGCGCAAAGTTCAGCTAATTAAGGCCGTGTCCACACTGAGACGATTTTCAGTGTATCTGCAAAAGATTTTTGTTGTTTAGGCAGTGCGTTCACATGGATTCAGGGTCTTGTGAGACCAAACTATGATTTTTGGTGACGTTGAAGCTCCATTTGTTTGGTTTGGTGTTTTTGTGTCGTTCTGTGGTAGTACTACAGCGCCACCGATTGGCCCGGCATACCTATTACATATATTTTTGTGGTGTCCTGTCATGTAGGCCCACATTTATTTATTTTTTTTAAGTATTTCCAAAAATGTATCGCTCATTCTCCTCATTTAGAGGGTTTGTCAACATTTGATCACGTCAGTTGGAGAAATGTTCCCTAATTTCAAAACACTGGCAGAAGTGGCTTGTAATTCCAGTCTCTAGTTTAGCAGCAGAAAACAGATTCAGTTTCCAGATCAACATCAAAATTCCCATGAGAAGTCATCTGTTTGAGGTAAATGTGACAATAGAGTCAGCAGCAACTCTCCTTGAAACATCTGACTACGGACAAGTGAGGAAGCGATTCCGGTCCTTCCAGGACTATAAGTTCAGGCTAGAGCAGATGCATTGTTTGTAATTTAAGAGCCATAATTTTATTGTTTTTACATATTGGTCCCAGAAGTCAGGACCAATATGTCCTGACTTCTTGTGTCACAGTGGATGCATCCGTCTGCTTGATAAATGATGGAACTATATGGATTCTCTTATTCGAGTTGAATATTAGTTAAAGTGAACTGAATGTCCAATAGTCTCGTTGTTTCCTGAACAACAGAATATCTGTATTAATAATGAAATAAAAATGAAACACAAACCATCTATTTTTCATCAACTGTTAGATGCCACTTTGACTTGGTCTATGACATAAAATCACAATAAAATGTATTAAAGGTTGTGGTTGTTACATAGCGAAATCTGAAAAGGACGTAACCATTTTTGCAAGGCACTGTATCATAAACTCAATACAGTGTCTTCCTTCCACAAGTATTGTTTTTTTTTTGGTAAAGATGTGTAAAAATTTTTATTTTTATTTTTAGTAAGTCCTCTGACATGTTCAGTCATGTTGCTATTTTCTTTAAGCAATATCTTGATCAACAAGCATTTGCCTTACTTTATCTGCTCTCTTGTTTTTCAAATTTTGGAGAACAACCACAAAAAATAGGCCTGTTTGTCATTTCATATTTAGTACCCAGGAACACAGGTGGGCCTCTAATGTAAAATACATCATTTTAATACATTTAAATGATGTATTAAGATTTGTTTTAATCAATTTAATCAATGTGCTCAAATTAAATAGATAAAAAAAAAATCTGTGTGATATTTTAGTGCTACGATAGATAAATTTTAAAAACTTTTTACACATCTCCACCAAGGTGACAATAATTGTGTTAGGTCCTGTTAAGCATCCGTCATTAAATCTTTTGTGTGTTGTTGTGTATCAAACATTTTCCATTCTGTCACTTGTGTTTTATCCAATTGCAACAACACATTAGATTATAAACAAAAGAAATATCTGAAATACTGATATCTTTGTACTGAAGCTGCAAAAAATAGAACAAAATCTTGCCGTTATTGTGCAGAACAACTGCATAGCTTATGGACATGTGCAAATTCAAAGTGGGCAGGCAGAGAAAACTGGAGAGATATCTTACCCTTTGTCAAATATTTGCACAGAAAAATAAAACTAAAACAACTTGCATATGTGCACAAATAGCCATTTTTATTTTCAGAACAGAGCACAATTAATCATATTTATCATTTAAAGAATGATGAATATTTATAGTTTACTCAAGCCAGTGAAGTTCTTGAAAAGGTAACATTAGTTAAAAATGTTTCATCAAACCTTTTCACATTAAAAATGTAACTAATCAATCAAACCTCGACACATAATCCCATATTAACACAGCATTTAGATTTCGGTGGTTGAACAGGTTTAGGTTCTCTATCCAACATGTAGATCTCAGTTGCAATGAAAATTTATTTTCTCCTCATATATTTCTTCTGATTTTGCTTTATTTGCCAGACGTAAAAGCTTCAGATGATCAAACTAATATTAATGTAATTTCAGATCAACCTGGAAAAACATTAAAAAGCTGTATTTTATAACAGCCTCATTGGTTTTAAGGGGAAAAAGCTATTGAGACTTATATACTCCTATGTGAAAACAGGCAATGCCCCCACCGGCCAAACATGGTGGTGGTAATGTGATGATCAGGAGCTAAACATTTCACACTACTGTCTACCTCAGGACTTGGTGGCTTAACCACAAATAATCTGCTCTATAGCAGAAAACACTGAATGTATTCAAACTAAGACAATTCTACAAAGAAGGGGGTCACGATGATCCAAAGCAATAAAATAGAATGATTACCTGATTCTTGAAGGCACTTGTTTTACAACTTATATAAGCAGTTGGCAAGGGACTGATTTTCATCCGTTTCTTTTCTTTTTTCTTAATTAAAAAAAAAATACTGTTATCTTTATCTGACGTCAAACTTTTATGAGTGACAAAAAGCCAAAAAACAGAAGAAATTTGTGAGGGGCAAATACTTGCAATACTCTACTTTTTTTTTTTTATCCCTCAGTGAAATATAAACCACATGTATCTGGACAGATGGTTTGATCATTCACTCTGTATTTGCTGACCTATTTTGTTAGGATAAATTAAATGTTTGAAAAAAAATCCTAATAACTGTGTGAAACAGCGTGCCAATTTGGACATATTCAGGAAATCAGTATCATTTCCGTGGCATGCCCCGGCAAATTCATTTACCGTAAGGGAGTAGTAGTTCAGCATCAAGTGTTCAAGGCCACCTCGCATTCTTCGAAATGTAAATGGAAAAGAACAGCCTGATCCTGGCAGGAGCTAAATGTCAAATATTCTCCCAAATACATTTTGGGAAAAAAAAGAAAGTTTAACTTTGGCGTTTTTTTTTTTTTTTTAAGTTTGCAAAAATGATTGTGTCTTTCTTTTTTTTCTATCTTTTTTTTCTGAAACTGTATCACTAAAGTTAACTTTGTAGACAATTTTTGATTTTTAGTGCGTGGATGTTGACAAGAGTAGATATGTATTAAATGTCTGCTTTCACACATAACAACGTCATACTTGTGTTGTTGTCATTACTTGTACACCAGTGTACCACTGACCACACAACGTACATTTGATGAAATAACTTTTACATACAACGTATATTTGATGTGCCAATATTCTGTAACAGACAGTTACAAGAAGTAAATATTTCATATAATTTTAAAGAAAAAAAAAACATGAGCAGGTGTACAGTAGCATTTAACTGACGAGGCAACAGCCAGGAACAGTTTCAGTGGGTAAACAGTAGTCCAGAGATATTAAGGTGCAAAACCGTTATTGGTTTCTCTACTATATTCTAACAGAATAGATTATTTTATTATTTGAAAACACAGCTTGATCAATCAAAATGTTTGTGACCGATTTGTGATGAAGTGTGGTGAAATGGGTTCATATATAGGATACATTTCTGAGAATAAAATAATTAAAAGGGAAATTGATTGTTCTGTGATTCTGTAGGCTAATACTAGAGATCAGTGCCATCATGTTGCATTATATTTATATCTGACTTTAATGCTAAGCTGAATTGCTCGGCGGAGGAAACAAATGCATCAAAATCTCACAAAGAGAGGTATAGAATTGGTCATTAGTTTGCGAAAGCCTCGACAATAATATCTGCTAAAAATGCAAACAATGTTGGCAAAGAATAATCAACAGATTAGCCACATCTGCAAAAATATCTTAATAATTTTTCGTTTTTAATCAAAGTAAACTTAAAAAAAACAGCAGGCGTTAAAGTCACAAACAAAAACATGTCTAAAACATTATCGTTAGAACAATAAAATAGTTCAAATTAGATATTAGAGGTGAATTTAACATTTTTTTCCAGAAAGATACAACACATTTTTTTGTGTTGATTTAATTTGGTTTTCTTGGGACGACTGCTCTAAAAGCTTAATGTTTGCCTAATGCCTCCCTTATATTTCTCAAAAAAGAGAAGTATAATAAAAAAAAGAGCTACAATTTAAACTAAATATAATTTAGAACCTCACATAAAAAATCTGGGCACATTTAAGGATTTTTAAGGTGGTTACATGTAAAACTTTTTCTGGCTTTGAAGGACCTTTCATAAATCCAGTCTCACTCCAGCTCCTCCAGTTGTTCCTGCCATTGCAGGTAAGGAGCTCAGTCTGGTCATGAGACATTTCTCCTGAAGGCATTTGGCTTTTCAATGTAGGCATCTGCAAATTTCACTCTTTAAATGCTTAAATGGGGATAGATGAAGAAATCTAATATTCAGCTCCTGGACCTCGACTGTAACTATATTTAATATTAGTGCATTATATGTACAACTTTGACTATATGGGTTAAAGAAAATCCACAATAAAGCCAAACTTGCGCACTCAGTTCTTGTTTTCAAAATTAATCAAAGTAGTAGGATGGATTCAGGTTTATTGGGACGTATTGAGGAATCTGGGACAATCTAAGGAAAAGGGTATTTTATTGTTGCCTTGAAGTTTACAGGTAGCAATTTTGGAGATACTTCCAAAGTAGTGCTTTAGCACTCTCAGCTTTGCTTTATAAGTTTGAAGGCAAATGTAAAATATCTTTTTTCTTATCCTGTCCAAACGCGTCTTAATTCTCCCTTTATTGCATTACCATTTCACTCTGGAACCCCCTCCCTCCCCCCAAAAAAAAAAACAATTCAAATATGTCACTCCAAATCCAAAATTAATAAGAGATTCATGTCAAATGATGAGTGTATATAATTCTCTGTCAGCGAACTGGATATTGGGAACTTAACAGTGAGCACAGAGCTCTTTTTCCATTGCTATCATAAAAATATGGCAGGGTGAGCTTCTTTCACAGGTAAACAACATAATTCTCTGGGATTAAACCTGTTTTGCTCTCGTATGTTGCTTGGAGCCAGCCTGGTTCGACGGAGGGGTAGACTAAAGGACATAAGAGAGAGAGAGAGAGAGAGAGAGAAAGAGAGAGAGAGAAACACTTGTAAGTCTCAGAGAAAGAACAGGTTGTTGTATTTTCAGTTGTACCAGTTCTACAACAAAATGTAGTGAAAAGGACAGTGAAGATTATTCTGGGTCAGCCTGCTATTTTCAGTCAGCTGTTGGGGTGTGTTTTACAATTTAAACTCAAAGCCTCAAATCAACAGCACCAGGAAGGTAATTACCATGGAGAGTAATTAAAAGCATTAAGCTTGCTTGTAAATGATGGGGAGCATTTGTTGACGTTTTTTGCCTCTGGCTGCAGACTCTGCTGGCTGTGTTAACAGGGAACAGGCACCAGAGCCTTCAGTCACTAGGTTACAGTGACCCAACTGCCCTGCTTATGGGTCAAGCCATCTCTTTATTGGAGAAAAACATGAAGCGGTAATAAAAATAACGTGGTTATTAAGATTTTCTGCATGCATAGCGGGTTGTGGGGTTGTTGTTATATGAAGCCTTTCTTCAAACCTCTACCTAATATACAGTCATATCTCAGTATGCCTGTGTACTGAGGCATATTTAGTTCACTTTTGAACTAAATGTTCACCAAAAGTGAACGTTTAGTTTTAATTTATTTAGATGATTACAGCATGTCTCGCCAAATTATCGTCAACTGTGGAAATCTCACGCTGGATCTCCTGTATGTCATATTATGAACCATCCCACACAGCAAATGAACCCATACAATCTTAAAATCTTTCCTAATGCAAATATCTGCAAACACTTGAAAATATCTTACAAGAAACTTTTCAGCAATATATAAGAACAGGTTTTAAGTATGTTATTCTTTAATACTGTGGCAGATTTTTACAATTATAACAAGAAATTTCCCATGTTGTTATAAGTGAAAAAAATGCCGGTAACACTTTTTTAACCGATATTCAAGAAGGATTGAGTTAAAATAAGCTCCCATTTCATGCTGAAAAGATACTTGCAAGTTGTGTCGTATTTAAAATGTACAAAGATATTTGCACTGAAAACTAGACAAAAATTGCCACTTTGTGTTTTTGCAGTGCACTCTTCTCAGGGACAGGGAGCTTTATTCTTGGATGAGATGCTAAATTTTTATGGTGGACTTTATACCATCAAATAATACACTGCAAAATCATACAATCTTACAAAGTATTTTTGTCAAGCTTCTAGTACAAATATAAGAGCACACTTATAGTGACTTACAAGAAACTATTTTTTATGTCTTATCAATTAAAAACAGCCCTAGTTTCACTAGCAGATCTTTTCACTTATAATAGGACTTAAAAAAATAAAAATAAATAAATATTATGGAATTATTCAGTTAAAACAATCTCCTATATTTTGCTGAAAAGTTAGTTAGTTTTGTCTTGTTTCAACTGTACTAAGATATTTGCATCAGAAACTAGACAAAATAAATACTTTGTAACATTTTGTGGTTTCACAGTGCAGTCCAATCGTCTCTCTCTTTGGTGCAGGAGTGGCTTAACAAAAGGAATGGAACCATCCAGTGGACCCACAGCCCATGCTTTCTGAATCTGCCCATTGCCTGTTTACTTTTTACAATCGCGTTTTTCTTCTGCTTAACTTTCATGTCAATCTGTCAATTCCCAGCAACTTTAGGGATGTCGTTTTGCAGCTTGCTGGTGATCAGTATAGATTGTTAAGGCCAACATGTGGTCATAGCACAAAATTTCTGTATTAAAAATGATGATTTTATTTATTTTCTTTGGTTTGGTGAAGTATTCTACTTTTATTTTTTTATAAAATCTTTTAAGCGTTTGCTTGGTTTATGTTGATGTTTTTTATGTGATGTCTGTTCAGCACTTTTGTCAGTTTTGTTGTCTTAAAAGTGCTTTTAAATAAAGTTGGCTTGACTTTTCTGACATACCGCCATCAATATAAGCAGAAATAAATATCTCTGTGTGAGTGTCACTGTTTGACAAAAAAAATGTTTGTTTTCATACCATTTGAGAAGTGCGCCCCCTGAGGAAAGCTGAGCTCATTGCTGTGCTCTGCCTCACAGGAATACATGGCCTTGGCATCTCTAGAAAGTAAAAAATAAAAATAAAAAATAGATAATGTTGCAGTGAATCTGAACGAGTGTCAGAGTTAATAATAAGGCCTACATGTCACAGATCGTGTTATGTTTTACCTTCCTATAGGGACAGATTGTGAAGAAGGGGGGTTTTCAAAAAGCAGCGCTCTGGCAGCAACCCTAAAAAGGAATAGAAATGAGACACAACCATAAAAGAAAGATTGACAATTTTTACTTTTGGCCAAATCACATCTGTCCGGTTGGTTTGACCAGCATTTCGCATTGTTCAGAGCGACGCGAAAGGCAAAAACGACATATAAGGGGAGGCTTCCTTCCTCCAGGCAGACTGAGCTTCGTCACGGCGCAGAGTCGAGGTGAAACACGCAACGCAGACGCACATGAACCAAGAGCACGCCAGTCGTAGGAGTCAAGGTCATCTGCAGAGCTTGAGGGGCAGTCTGGGTGGGTGCTGGACAGGGAAGGACTACTCTGGAGACCGTGTGACTGGCTCCCCAGACACGACAAGTCAAACAATCTGTTTGTCCCAGGAGAACGAGCACAAATTGCTGCTGGGTCACATCAACCCTAGAGCAGGCAGAACGCAATTAAAGGCAGCCCTCCCACCAGAGCACAGGAGACATAAATCTCCAAACATGCACTCATTTGATTTTAGAAAACTCTCAATGCTCGTAAACCGAGGAGGGAGTAGGCAGACAACTCAGAGGGAGAGAGGGAGGAAGGAAAGAGGGCGGAAAGAATTGCTGCTAAGCTATTGTGCTCCAGTCTTACCGGGTTACTGTGGGTTTATGGTGCCGTTTCTCCCTACAAACATTCAGAGCCCCGAAAAAGTGA